AATGTACAGTAATTGTAAATGAAATACATTATTAAAGTAACCCTCCCGACCTTATACCAAAGACACAAGGAGGGAAATTTGAAGAGATGCCTTGTATAGTTGTTGATGATAATTAGCCCCCCACCATAGCACAGAGGAGAGAGTTGTGCAAATAGAAAAAAACCGTATGAGAGGGCATGCTGCCCTACTTTACAAAGGCAGATTCAAGAAATAAAGCAGTTTAATAATTGATGTTTAATTTGGTCATAGCTAGTCTGTACACATCTATTGCAAATACTACTTACTGGAAACTCTAAAAATGTAAGTGGCACATTTACATTGTCTGTTCTTTCTTGGCCTAAAAACCCCATCAAGAAGAATGTCGTAATATTCATTTCAGTACGAAGCAGGAATATTGTAATAAAGTGATGACTTTCAGCACTCTTTCCCATTTTCTATCTCCACATCACCTCTTCAATGGTCATGAATTTAAATTTTCATTTTCATATGGTAATGACACTCATCTCTACTTGGCCACTAAACGGATTGAAAATGACTACTTTTAATTCCTAAAACGTAGCGCTGCATTTATCCTGGTGATGGATTTCCATGAATGTTCTCCTCTGTGATTATCTTTGAGTGGAACAGAAGCACTGTTTCTTTGACCTTGTTCAACATATGGCTCATCAGCATTGCACGTTTCAATGGAAAGAACATTCACATACACAGGTTGTGCACATGGTGCGTGTTAAAAGGTAAAAGCTGACTACAATTGTCATAAAATATGTAATTTTAAGCAAACTTCTACAAAATATGTGCATATTGTTATGGCTATTCAAGGTTTTTCAACATCAAACAGAGCTCATCACAAAAGCAGCATGTGGAATTTCACAAGGATTTAACAGCACAGTGGAGTTATTGGAACTTTTTCAAACTAATTGAGCTTCTTTTCTTCTTTTAGAGCGTTGATAACATGCAATATATCACTCTTATTGTTCTTCTCATCTATGACGCAGGTCGGCAGGTGATTAGTATAAAGACTAGCAACATGAGAAAACAGTGAGCATGGCTCTGTCTGTAAGGGAAGATATTCAGCTACCCGTGCCTCTAGCACTAATCATACTGTTATATTTTAGTAGGTTTAACGAGATATAACACTCAAAGTGTAGAAAAAACAAGATAACACGTGTTGATTAGAGAACTTTGCAGGTGTAGCTTCACATTCAACACAGAAGAAAAAGCACCTATATATATTTCCCCAAATGTAAAACTTTTTCTTCCTTTTCTATTATCAAATACAACGGACAACTACAGGTTTATTTATGAGCAAAGGAACAAAGTGCAATTTTAATGCACACAAATTATGAATGAATGAATTAAATAACCATTAATAGAGGAAATACTCATGCAACTAATCGTACTCAGATAAAGAAATGGTTAGTTTTAAATGCTGAAAGATTGTGGTGAGCAGAAGGCAAAACATAGTTATATATTTTTGCTTCTTGGAAGTAATTATAAGAGAACTGGAAATAAAAAATAAAATCTCACTTATCCCTCTACTTGAAAAACACCAGAAGAAATGTTCTTACTGATTCCTAGAATAAGAGTAGCCATAATAAAAGAAAATTAATTGGTTTAAAGTTGATATCCTAATACATTCTGAATGTTAAGAATAGCCATTAGAAATCCACAAATGTTTAAACTATATTTCATTTAGTTGTGCATGGCCTGTAACCAGTGGCGTTTTTATATGTACAAAAGTGGTGGGGCACGAACAACTTAGATGTGTATATAAGCTTCTGGTGGTTTTGCACGCAAACAAATAGCTGTAGGCTATCCATGGTTCCGATAGAGAGGGGGGGGATATAAGGAAAACCCAGAAACTCATCACGAGGTCACAATATCAATCGATCCAGCAGAGCAATAGCCTATAGGCAAAACACAGAAGATCAACAAAAGATGTGACATAACATGAACTTACCAAAGCTGAAGTAGATGGTAAACTTCGGAGTTTAATCGCTATACGCTGCTCTCTCTCTTCTCCTCTTCAGATCTACACTTTTCGCGGCACATGTATTTACAGCCAATCAGCTCTCTGAATTATGATATGACGTTTGGTGGGTATGCCAGCACTTTGCCCCACTGGTGATTATTTGTTTGCCGCACACATTGAATAGAAAAATACTCTGAGCATGCGCACTGTCGTTTTTACAGCACCCATTCATTTTGACAGCAGAGAGAGGGGCTAACCCAGGGGTGCCCAACCTTTTTTGAACCGAGAGCTACTTTTAAAGTTGCCAGTCTGCCGAGATATACCAGTCCAAATAGAGAGGCGTAGCCATTACTGACAGCCTACTACCAGGTAAATACACACTTCTACTTGTATAACACTGACCTTTGTACGATGAATACTTCATAAAATACTGCAGATCCTTTATCTTACCTCTTTCTAATCTACACACATACAAGTATTTAACTGAAGTTACACAACAGTGTTGTTGATACAGAGTTGGAGTTTATTCACACGTCACATACTACAGTGGGTAATTTTTTCAAGAAACAATGAACAGTGCTGCCACATATGACACAGAAAAAAGAAAAGACAATGAACCCTTTCTTTGCCATTATATAAAAATAGTGTTGCTACAAAAGTATAAATTAGGCTTACTAATAAGACAACTCAGATCTGAAGCTACACAGGAATCTGCTGCCAAAGTGCAATAAAAAAGACAAAATTAATAGAATCAAAGCCTTTTTTTGTTGCACTTTAGTAGAGTATAAAAAGAAATGCCTTAAAATAGGATGCAAGCAACACTAGTTTCTTAACCTGAATTGATAATATACTATAATCAATTTAAGTTTGCATTCTTATACCATTTTGTACAATAATTATAATGAATAAGTTCAAACAAAAATAAAACTTACAGCTGATTAATAACGGTATCTAACTTGAGTTTTTATTATATCAAAAACCTGTTGAAATGCTACTGTTATTTTTAATGTCCCCAAAAGCGCGTCGGCAGCCTCCAGGAAAGCTTCTTTCACAACTTCGCCGTCTTTGAAAGACTTCATGTGTTTCGCAAGTACGTGACTGACACGATAAGATGCTATGGTAGCAGCCTTGCTCTTGTTGTTGGGCCTGGTGAGAATGGACTGCTGTGCATTTAGCTGTCCTTTCAGGTCCCTCCCCTTTTGGGAGCGTAGGGCAGAATTAGGAGGGAATTCCGTCTCGCAGCGTTTGTGCACTGTTTTGAAATGCCGCTCCTAAATGACCCTTCTTCGATAAAGCCACGCTCGCATTGCGGATGAGACAGATGGACTTTGAATTGGAATAGATACAAAAATAATCATCCTCCCACTCGGAGTGAACATTATATATTTTAGGCTTTTTTGCTTCTGCCATAATTGCGGTCTTGTGTGTGTGAGGACTGTCACTCCTGCTGACACGGACAATGTCAGCGAAATAGTGCCCACTGCCCACCAGCCACGCCCCGACACATGGGGTCACGCCGGCCAATCACAAAGCTTTGATGCGTTCAAGTGCATTATTCTGGCAAAGGAAGATTATGTTATAGGACATTAACGATAAAACAGAATATTGTGGTTCTATTTTTGGACACATCTCCCGATCGACTGGGAATCTCCCCGCGATCGACTGGTTGGGCACCTCTGGGCTAGCCCCTCATCGCTCAACACGGCACTGTGGACACTAATTGGAAGAACGCAGACTAAAACAGCAATGTACAGACGAATTAGATGACTAAACATGATCTTAAAATATATTTGAACATATATTGTTTTTGCATATTTTTGGAATTATTATTTGCATTACTTTCTGCTGACACTAGGTGGGGCTGTACCCCACCTGCCCCTAATGACGAGTCACCTCTGGCTCATCATTTCTTAAAATGCAAATAATAGAAAAACGATGTACTCACATAGTGTGTAACCTAGTGTTTATTATACTGTGACGTGCTTTGGAGAAAATGAACAAACAGCAAGAATGTTTCTCAGGATTAAATACTTAATTTATTGCTTGTTTTTTCAGAGAATTCCTTGGATAATCACCAACACATTCTTCTCAGTTGTGTGCAGCTCTTTCCTTTTCACTGTGCATTACAATGTTGTACAAAAGTGACGATCAATAATTACAGACATTTCAGTTTCAAAATGGCCCTTTCATTGTGTAATGGTTTCTATGTGAAGGCCTTACATTCAATACATTTACTATAAGTCGATGTAGCTGTGTAACTGGGACATATGAGAACCTCAACATTTGTCTTAAAAATGACATTCTGCTCATTTTCAGGTTCATATTTGTATTTTGTTCCTCGACTGTGACATGTCTCCATGCTTTAATGTTGAAAAAGCTCTTTATTTGACTCATACTGCCTGTGCTGCAGCACCTCTTTTCACCCTCTGTCTGAAACCAGAGCCCAGTCTGCTCTGATTGGTTAGCTGGCCGGTTCTGTTGTGATTGGTCAACCGCATAGAGATGTCCTGCCTCTTAGCCTATCACGTTCAATGTTCAATCAGCAAACAATAACGGTGCGAGTGTTACATAGTGATGTCACTATGTTCCGGAAGTAAACAAAGGAGTCCAATGGAGATGTTTCAGGCAGGGGGGGGGGAAGAAACCCTCTCTGTAGGGAACACAGGGATTTTAATCTTTGCAGACCATTTACATGCACACACATCTATATAACACACTGCAGGAAAGGGAAAACATAAAATAGGGCCTCTTTAAAACTGATTTTCTCGGATAATTTGACCAAGACTGTGACTTGAGACAAGAGATATTCCTACATTTGAAGGAGACTCACTTATTTTATTTAGAAAGTACAATAAGAGAGGTAGGCAATGTAAGAATCAGAACAGGTTGTGTGCTATTGAAGCCTGACCTGAACCCCACCGAGGCCAAGGGGACTAATTGTTAATTAAGCCAGACTGATGAAAAAGAGCTCAAGTGTAAATGAAAGTGTCAGTGTGGAGGAGCACTCAGACACACCTTTTACCCCCACAAAGGAAAATCAGCTTTATTTTAAACTTGACAGGGCACTCCAGCAGTTCAGTACGTCTGGTTATTATTCACGGTGAAATTACAGTTCTGCAGTAAAAGGAGCGAGTGGGAGAAAGAAATTAAGGAAAACAAAAAGGAAGATTAGGTTTGAATCATGCGAGACAGTGGAGGGGTTTGAGGCTTTGCTGGGAATGTGCGAGACTGAGTCTCTTGAGGTGGTAAAATAAATTGTACCTTGGGGCAAAAGCTGGAAAATATGAAGGGATATAACTCACTTTTTCGAAGCAGAATAAAAAATTACCAAAGCCCCTTTTATTATCAAAATCCTCCCAGGCTTCTCTGATGTTGGCGTGTCTTATCAATGACTTAGAGGGAGAGTTTTCTGAAGAGGGGTTGTATAAGGTACTTACCACACTACCTACAGTCGATGATGGATGGAACGCCCCCTAGTTTGAAAAAGCACACAGGAGTACTGGCTGCTAATCTCAGCGATGTACTGCTGAATGGGAGCAGCAGCAAAACATATTAAAGAAACCTACAGAATCAATATTAGACGATGTGTACGCTAAATGTGGAATATTTGTACCACTCTACAGTTTCCAATGGGGAACTGAAGCTGTCATATTTTTCTATAATGCACATATTTTATTCTCAGACTAAATTGTCATTATTTTTGTACTTTTTTTCCATTCCTTGAAAAACATTTATTTCAATATTTTCTAAGAAAAAAGAAAAAAAGAAAATGTATAGCATTTTTCCTTTTACTTAAACACTCTTATTGTTGTTATGTATGCACAATTACACACCAAAGCAAATTCCTTTTATGTGTAAACCTACAATAAACCAGATTCTTCTTCTTCTATGCTCTTTTAAAAGTCACCAGAACTCACAAACATGGAAGCTGCTGCTGCTCTATCACTGCCTTGATAGGTTGGTTTGTTTGCATTATATGTTGGTAGATCAAACTAGCTAAGCCTTCGAAAGCCCAAAGTCACACAATAATACTGACAATTACATTTCCACTGATTGACTTAAGCGGTAGCCCAACCCTTGTTCTGCAAAGTAAACTGACTGTTTTCGTCAATAGAGTCTGCTGGCTTTAAAGAAAGCGTAAATACGCTTCAGTTCCCCGTTGGAAAGAGCTGTCTGACAGCAAAGTAAAGCAGTGTAAGTATTCTAAATATAGCACACACTGTAAGTGATTTTGCTATTCATAAGGAGGCTACAATATATTATGCTGCCGCCCCATCCCCAGCAGTTCATCTTTTCTCTTCCGTCTCCTCCATGGTAATCCTGTCTTTCCATCCAATCACGGGGCGTGCCATCCTTCATCTACTGTGGGTACTATACTGAATATGGATAAGTACCTGATCAAATCCCACTTCAAACAATCTGAAGCATCCCTTTAAGGCCTCTCCTCTTCAGTGTGTAGCCTGTACCTGTGGCTGAGGCCTAGGGGCAGGACGCGGGCAGGTTCAGAGCGATGTCCCTCAGACTGTCTCTCTCCTCTGTGATCTCCTGTAAGTCCTGTTCAATGAGGGACATCCGGCTGTGCTGCTCCTGAGCGGCTGAACGCAGCTTCTGAATCTTCACTCCCAGCGTCGGGCTGTCGACACTCCCGCGGAGCATGCTGAGGCGCCGCTCCGTCTCATCCAGGATCCGGTCAAAGCGCTCCAGCGGCACGTTCCCATCTGATCCGGACACGCAAGAGAGAGGACAGATGGAGGAAGAGGGAAAACATTTAGTGGAGACAGAAGTTTTACTGTTGCTCTAGTTTTGTTATCAGCCGTCCATCATCACCGATTCAAGCCACGACGCCCTAATTACAGCGATTTCAGATATTATCCACTCAGGTGTGTTAACATATTCACCAGAAAAGGCCTGCCTGTCTTATTCATTCTACACAATAGATTACACAGGTAATTCAGTTTTAACAGAGGTGGAAGAAGTATTGAAGCCCTTTACTTTACTAAATGAATATCTCACTGTAAAGGTACTGTATTACAAAAGTCCTGTTATCAAATTGATCACTTAGGTAAAGTAGGTAGGTATCATCGGCAACATGTTATTAAAGTATTAAAAGTCCCCAGTACAGAAATACAAATAATAATAATAAAGAATATATAATAATAACGCTCAAATATCTCAAATATATATATTTGTAAAATGATTGGAAATAATATAGAAAATTACTAAAATTAGTTTAGTTTCTTTAAGTGCAAAGAATTCCCAATAAAGAACAATCTAAGATTTAAAGGGGACCTATCATGCAAAATGCACTGTTGTACGTCTTTTATACATGATGATGTGTCCCCGGTGTGTCAGGGAACTCACCAAGTGTCAGAAAACACAACCCTCTCTCTTTTCCTCCATACCCAAATCTCTAAAAACGGGGCTCGGTTAATTTTTCTGACGTCAGAAACGAGGAGCTCCGCCTATATGGGCATCTCTCCACCTATCAGGGGAATGAGAGGTTGGGCCACCGCCGGCCATTGCCGCTTGAAAGCGCTGGAGACGCTGTAGTACATATCCCAGGCCTGTAAGTGGCGCTGTAGTCTACCACAAAAGCAGCGAAGAAGACTTCCCGCGCATGGTTGCCCTTCTGTTTATTCTCCACTGTGGCTCTTTTTCTCCTGCTGCTGTTATTCATTGCAATCCCTCCCTCGCTGCAATTCTCTCCGGTAGTCCACCAGCAGATGACAAACACCCACCTCTCCGCCTCTTCCAAGGGACGAGGGGACCTTGCGGCAGAGTTTCAGTTAGATTTTTTTTCGCCGGTCAACATGTCCGTTAAAGTTTAAATCTTTCGGACAAAATTAGAAAAGTGCCGGTCAAAGGTCTTCTTTGTTATTTATTGAGCTTTGAAACAAATGAACAACGACTCTATATAATAATATAAGAATAATACACGGAGGACAGAGCCTCTCTTTTCCTCCCCCCCTTCTGAGAGCCCAGCAGCTGATCTCAAAGCACGCTCCCTTCTCCTGCAGTGGGGCGTGGTCAGCTGCAGCTCATTTGCATTAAAGCTACGTCACAGAATCAGCCCTTGCAAAAACAGGGCTGGAATAGAGCAAATAGAGCGAAATGAGGCATGGCTAAAATGCAGGATCTGTTTGGTATTATGAAAAAAAAACTTCACAGACATGTTTTATATAGGTATGGCCCTACAATATATTATTCAAATATAGCAAGATAGGTCCACTTTAAATACAAACTTTTTTAAATGACTGGAAATAATAAAGAACATTACTTAAATGTGTATAGTTTTAAAGTATTAAAAGTTCCCAATAGAGAAAAATCAAAAATAAGAAGAAAGAAAGAAAAATTACTGAAATGTAGTGTCCTTGTAAATGTATCAAACAAGATGTTTTTGTATAGACAGTTGGCTTTTTAAATCTAACAAAACATGTAATGTTATAATAAAAGGATCTAAAGCTGTAAAAATATAAGTAGTAAAGTAAAAATCACAATGTGTTCCTTGACATTGTAGTGAAGTAGATGTGTGCAGTGGCAAGAAAAAAAACCCCTAAAGTAACTCAAATATGCAATTAAGTAAAATAATATGTAATTATTTACACTGTGTTAAAAATATAAACACAGTTGAAATATTTAGCAGTAACATTTACCCACAGAGAACCCGCTGCTGGGCCCATGAACAGCAGTTACTTCATCATATGGGATAAACATTTCCATGTTAAACGAGGCATTAAAAAGCAGATAGCTCTTTAGTGGAGTGACATTTACGGTATAATGAAGATTTATGAGTTTGTCCTGACTTTAAAGGAGGCACAGTGAACATCATCTATAAGAGAGTGACTTACCAATCTTGCTGATTAGCTCAGTGAGTGTAACAGAGAAAGCCTTTAACTGGAGCCTGGCTGCCTCCATGTCTTCTTTAACGCCGGCCAGGGACGCCTGAGGCTGGAAATGAGAAGACAGAAACATCGTCATTATCACTGAGCACAGGAAGCACGGATCAATATGCATGGATCCTGCTGTTCAGATGTGTGGATGACGTGTGTGTTACCTCTGCAGTGACCAGGGAGCGGGCTCTGTCAGTCTGCAGCTCCTGCTCACTCAGCTGCTGCAGAGCGGAGTCGATGTGCGAGCTGAGGTGAGCCGACGCTGTCCTCGTGTGCTTGGCCTGGATCAGAATGGCTTTGGATTCCTGCACACAAAGGAAGGGGAGAACAGGGGAGAGACAAACTGTAATCAACTATTAGGGCTGCACAACATCAGGAACATATTACTTGTGATATAAATACTAAATGAACAGATATTAAAGTGTACTCAGTTCTGCTTTATAAACATATATACTGCCAAAATACACAAATTGCTTTTAGATAAAAAAAATAAAAGGGAAATGAATTGGAAGATAGTTAGATTTTTCCAAACTGAACATCTAACTGCACACAAATATTGATTTTGAAGTGTAGTTAGAAAGTGTGTAATGTGTTTCTTTGCAAGATGACATTGTGATGACGATGAAATATTAATTATTGTGCAGCCCTACCGACTATTTGAGATATTTTGTTCAGATAGTTTTGTTGGGTTTTTAGTATGAATTTGTTTATCCTTTATTTAACCTAAAAGGCCCCAACTCAATATGAGAACTGATTTTGAACTGGGTTTTGAACATGACTGTTTTCATCAAGAGGGGGTAAAGATTCCAAGTTGCAAAGCAAAACTCAAAAGTCCACCTGGACCCCTGTGCCACAGAGCGGTGTGTTGGCCGCACACACACCTTTGCCACAGCGTGAGCGGTGTGTTCTGCCTGCTGTGTGATGTTGCTGGAGAGGCTGGAGTTCTGCAGAGCGGGTTCCAGCATCTCTTTTATCTGCGAGACCTTTCTCCTGACATCTGCCAGAACCTTCTCCTCCAGAGGTTTCTCCTTCTTTATCGAGGCCTTTGTCTGGGCCTGTTGCCGGGGCCACTCCCTCACCATGTCTGACGATCAGGAAGAAGGCAAGGGAAAGGAACAGAGGCAGTGAGAAGTTGTTTTAAATCCCAAATGTAGCTATTAAAGTGCATTCTCTCGACTCATCCACGCCCTCATCACCTCCCGTCTGGACTATTGCAACAGCCTCCTCTATGGTTCACCTGCAAAAATCCTCAACAAACTTCAATACATCCAGAGCTCTGCTGCCCGTCTACTCACCCACACCCGAATCCGTGAACACATTACACCTGTCCTCATCAAGCTCCACTGGCTCCCCATCCCCCACATCATTCAGTACAAGATCCTCCTAAGGACGTACAAAGCCCTCCATAACCTGGCCCCATCCTACCTGACTGACCTCCTCCACAGACACACTCCTACTCGCTCCCTCCGCTCTGCTGCTTCCAACCTCCTGTCCCTCCCCACCCGGACCAACCTCAAGTCCGGGGGCAGCAGAGCCTTCTCCGTTTCTGCACCCACCCTTTGGAACTCACTACCCCAATCCATCAGAGATTCTTCCTACCTCACAGCATTCAAAACATCACTCAAAACCCACCTGTTCAACACTGCATTCAACACCCCCCCCCCTCTATTTTCTGTTTTGTATTTTTCTTTGTTTGTTTTTGTTTTTTTATTCTCTGTCAAAGCGTCTTTGAGTTTCTAGAAAAGCGCTATACTAGTCCCATGTATTATTATTATTATTATTATTATTACCACAGAGGTCTGAATTATTGATTTCCAAATGTATAGACCTGAATACAAAGAAAGTCTTTGTTTTCTTAAGGATTGGATGGTTTACTTAATATGTGTTCAGTTAAGTTAAATCACAACAAACTGTTTTCACATTGGTGGCCTGGGTGACGTTATCTAAATTATGCCGTAAGGGATGAACTCATGCCAAGTTTGTGATGAACAAATCCTCAAAATAGTGACCGCAATGATTCGAGGGAAGCCCGACTAACTCCAGCTGATTCTCAGTCTAAAGAGCAAAAACCTAAAAAAAAACACACTAGCTGAATCTAGCATCTAAACCTCTGATGATGAAACACAACCAAGTGCACCAACAATCATCCACATCCTGGAAGTGCACTTTTTTGTTTTCTAAAAAAGCAAACAGCCCAGTCTCTTTGACAGGGTGTCAGACTCTGATCTTTGGTGTCTTTATGAGACACAACAGGTTTTCAACTAACAACAATTTATCATGTAGCATTCAAAATGATACGCTCAGAGCTAGTGTGCTGGGTGTGTGGTGATTTTGTATAAAGACTAAAAATGTAGGGAGGATGGACGGGAAAATCGAAAAGGACGAAAATTGGTCCTGTGTTGTTATCTTTGTCTTTACAACGTTATGTTTAACCCAAACCACACATTTTTCGGTATTAATTTATAACATTTTAAAGGTATTTAATGTAATCTAGTGTGACACACCGGGCTATAGTGTGAGAATGTCACGTATAGTGAAGAGTTAGGAATGATAGTGGGTCGATGATGATCATTTTTTACAGTTAACACATTCATTTATTTCCTGACTAAAGGGCTTTAAATCCATGACTGAATGATGAACTCAAATACATCAGCAACTACAAAAAAAAGGTTGATTTGAACAAGTTCCACTCAGTTGATCTGAATAATGCGGTCAGGTGTTTTCGACACCTTCAGATAACCTTCTAAATCCCAGTTTTGAGAATCAACATTTCGTCATACTTAATCTAAAAGATGACATGTTCCTTTGTGTGTTGTTGAAACGCTGTGGCCTTTGGAAGGGGAAACACCTCTCCGGATAATCCCCAAAAATGTTCTTAATGTTCAAACTAAACAACACACTGCTTCTGTCGATTTATTCATAGTCATGTGGTTTGGTTTTTATCAGAATTCTTTTTCTGTAGTACAAACAAACTAACCCCATGGGGAACCATCAGGAAACTACCTTGCTGTGTCATAAATGGTAAAGCAAACATGTGGAACACGCAAATTGTTTTGTTGTCGGCTGCAAGAACCAATACAATTGTTGTCATGTCCTCCGATCATCACTTCTTTATCTCTCCAAGTGAGATAGAACAGCAGGATCTGCCAGAAAATGAGCTGTAGATCAGGATAAATCAATACTGTTTGATCGCATCGAGACACAACTTCAAACCTGGAGAATGTAGCACTGACGGTAACTATGGAAGGCAAATGTAGTGACCAACAAATACAGTAAAACGTGCAATTGTTTTAAGTCTTAAATACTAAGGTGTTTTAATAAGATATGCAGTGGCATCAATATTGTGTTAAAAAAACGCAATAAAAAATGTGTGCCCCCATTCAAATGATCAATACCTTTTTTTGAATTTAGGTTCAAGACAGTGAAACACATCAGCTTGTTTTTCTCTGGCCTGAATCAAATTAAAGAGCCAATATCTGCCTTGTACCGTTATTAAACTCCTGGATACCATTTACACACACAGTAGAAGTGTTTATTTAACTTTATGAACAGTTTCCATTCACACTACAGGAGCAAACGTAAACATAGCAAAGAGGACACAGTGTCCTCTCAAATGTTATAATGCTTTCATCAAATTCAAAATAATCTGGTAAGTATAGTGAAATTAACTAAAATGTTTCTCTTTGAGAGTGCAACGACTCAAAACTTCTAAAGTTTACATAACACAATGATTCAACATGACCAACATGTACACATATATTTATATTTCATACTTGTTTTCTTTAACTGGTTGACTCTCCAGAGGGCAGCGTTTTCCCACCAGTTTGTCCAACACTTTGGTCTAGGCTGAATAAACTCTTGCTCATTTGGACATTTTGGCATGGAAAAAATCTTTATTAAACTGGTGACATCCATTGTAAAAAATGACACCGGTTAAACATCAGCATGCTATAATCCAGCATGTAAAACTACAGATGTAATCCTAAATACTGTATATAAAATACTAATAACATTTTTGACAGCAGCCATGCTGAGACATGTGAAATTGAACTCCAGCTGATCGTCGAGAGCCCCATTGTTTTCTTCTTCAGGCCAAATATTATTAAAGTCAGTCCATTGAGCTGGATGGATTACCAGCCAGGGATTACAGTGCTTCGATATCTTATCCATAAACTGCGTCACTTCTCTTCCTGTAAATGCAGGGATGTGACATACAGGATTCCTTATTGGAGCAAGAGACAGTCAGTTCGTTCCCAACATACTACCATACCCTTTCTAACGCATGGGAAAGATTTTGCATCTCTAAATACATAGTATGTCAAATGAAGTATGACAAAAGCACTGCATCCGGTCACATTTTGCAGGATGCAAGCCAGCATGCTGTCCTGTCTACTTTGAGTCAAAGTTTAAGGAGTAATGTTATGATGAAGAGTATGACCCAAGTGTATGCATACGTCATGCAAAAGTATATACTCTGTGAGGGAAACTGCACTACATACAAGGGCATCCGGTGCTTTTGTTGCCTTAACAACAGACATGACTTTTGATGCAAATCCTTTCAACGCCCACCATCCACCCCGACCCCCTCCTGTAGCTAACATAGGACCTCATCCAATCAACAACATTTTGCCTGGGAACAAAATCCAGGCAAAGATTAAATTAGTTGGCAAAATGTAATTATAAAATATATATATCTAATAATATCTAAGAGCCAGGATCCGTATTACCGAGCTATAGCAAACTTCAAATTGAAACTGTACTCTCTACCGTCAACACTTTCAAGTTGGATAAAGATGAATCCACCACCTGCTGCAGTCATATGGTTAAAATCCAGAGTTTTAAGGGTCGATTCAGCATCATACAGGATGCTTAAGCAGATTTGTCTGCTCTAGGCTACCATTCCCAGCCATCTCTGTTGGCAACCAGTCTTTGTGTTTTTCACCCAACTTAAACCACAAACTTCATCCCATTTCTTGGGATGTTTAATTGACCTCTTTTAGTGTCAGTAATGTCTTGACTGTAAGATCTCCTCGATATGCTGCTGATCCAACTATGGTCAAGTTCTTTCTTCTTGTTATGTAACTCCAGACTGACCCACCAACTTAACCTTGGATTCTCTAAACAAACAAATGTAAACCCAAGAGATCGTCTTGACTCACTTCCAGGAATGAGCAGAGTCCAGTTTTCTTCCTTTCTCTAATTCCTGAAATCCTTTTACACATAATGCCTTTGACAGTAGCTTGTGGAATAACAGACGTATCATATTGCACCATTACCTCAATACTAACTTGCTGCAACAGCCCGCAAGGGAAGGTTTGAGATTTCTGTAAAGAACTACTATTCAAAATGAAATACTAACAACTACACTGCATACTATATTAACAATTGAGTGTACCACACCACATTAAAACAGTTACTAAATCAGCCTACTATCACCTAAAGAACATATCTAGGATTAAAAGACTAATGTCACAGCAGGATTTGGAAAAACTTGTCCATGCTTTTGTCTTCAGTAGACTGGACTACTGTAATGGTGTCTTCACAGGTCTCACTAAAACATGTATTAGAAAGCTGCAGCTGATTCAGAACGCCGCTGCTCGAGTCCTCACTAACACTAAGAGAGTGGATCACATCGCTCCTGTTCTGAAGTCTTTACACTGGCTTCCTGTGTGTCAAAGAATAGATTTCAGAAATACTGCTGCTGTTTATAAAGCACTGAATGGTTTAGGCCCAAAATACATTTCTGACCTCCTGCTAAAATATTACCATCCAGATCTCTCAGGTCTTCAGGGACGGGTCAGCTTTCTGTCCCCAGAGTCAGAACTAAACATGGTAAAGCAGCGTTCAGTTATTATGCTCCAAATATCTGGAACAAACTCCCAGAAACCTCTTACTACTTTTAAAGCCAGGCTGAAGACTTTTCTTTTTGTCGCTGCTTTTAATTGAACTATTCATATCTTAGACTGCACTGTAACTTTTATCCATGTATTTTTTCTTTTAATGTTTCTTTTATTATCTTTTATTTTTAATGACTGATTTTAAATGCCATTTTCTTAATGTCTTTCATTTTTTGTAAAGCACCTTGAATTGCCTTGTGTTGAAAAGTGCTATATAAATAAACTTGCCTTGCCAGCAGACGGTTCACACAGTTAACTCAGACAATGCAACACATCACATCAATCACAGGGTTACTGGTCCAATTTATTATTGAAGTGTAAATCAACCTAGTCTCTTCTACTTAATTGAATGTTTTCTAGAATTATGTAAAGCCAAAATAAAACAATGATTTAAAATGAGTTTTACAATTCACTATAACTCTTAATTATTTTAACTGGGTGTTTCAGAATCCGGCATTGAACAGGACAGGTGCATTGATTGTGTTAGGCTTGTGTGACCTCATGCTTCATACTCAAATATTTTTGCCACTGTACACCCGGGGATTTCTTTCATGCATCCTACATACTTAGCAGTTAAAGTACACTTAACACTCAATTCAACGTCATACTTGGTGTGATTAGTATACAACTATGCCTTTTTTAACCCAGCCAATGTGTGATCAAATAAAAATATTATCAATGTTTATGCATTTTCTGTCTTGAGTATGTGAATACTACTATTGAGTAGTGGGGGAAAGACTTTTTAATGTAATTTCAAGGGCTGCATCATGTTTAAAGATGAGTTTAGAGGTAACTTTACAGACATATATGAATCCGGTATAGTTACCTTTTAAGGATTTAGTGCAACATGTTCTGTTGTGCAGCTTAGTCACACTAAAAACTCTGTACACTTTTTATAGCTCTATGCCCACTGCAGAGACCACAGACAGAGATAATTCATTTAAATGGCATTAGCAATAAATGAATTACCTTTTACGACATCAAGGATAACTGTAAACCGTGCTGGTGCGTCCCGTGATTCACTGAAGGACATTCCAGCCGCTGTTGGAGTTTCCAGCTTTGGCATCATTTAAGTGCTTTGTTGTTTTTAGAATCTGCCAGCTCCCCTTTGTCTGCAGCAGAGAGGAGCAGCGGTGGTTCACTTCTCAGAGAGGTGTTGTGCTTTGTCTTTTAAGGCCGGCTGCAGACAGAGACCCTCGCTGCTGCTCCTCAGTGTAAACACAAGTCACGTTGTAATGAATGTGCCATGGCGGCAGAGTCAGAGCAGGCTAAGTGCACTGACGTCCCGTGTGTGCTCGAGGTGTCCATCAGCCTTGTGTTTTCCTCACAACCATTTACAGTCATCTCTGTTTGGGACAAAGCTGGAACACCTTCTTCCAACCATATATATTCATGTGTTTAATTAGGTCTTTTTGTAGCGTCATCCCTGATACGAAACATTTGGGCAAATCGCTTTTCCACCTGTTTTAAATATTCTTTGAGATTTTTGAGATTTCAGATCGCTTAGCTGCTGAAGATCTGTATGTTTGGAAGTTGTATAGCTGCAGCTGCAGTTTTATTACAGTATTTGGGGAGTGAGTGCCAAACTTGTTAATATTTTTCCAATGTCCCACGTCTCACAAACACTGTTTAGTAAATACTTCACAGGAAATATGAGCATCCATCTTTTTTGGTAACAGGGGTCTATCTGCCTCACACCTGCAAGTTATCGCTTCAAGGAATATATAAAACCCACACTTTCTCTGTGGATACACACACACATATATATATGTTTTACTGTAATTTGACTGTACTGGCCCTTCGAGTTATAAATGATCAACATAACAGTGAAAACCCAAAGTTAACTAAACTGCTTTAAAAAAGTCTTATTATCTCATGAGTTACCATCAAAGCTTTCTTATACAAGTTGATTAAAAATATTGCATTATATAGTTTCTACATCCAAATATGACTCATGTCTAAATGGGTCAGAAAGGTCTCCTGAAGCCTCTTCTGGCTCTTCAGTGAAGTTGACCTCCTGATAGGCAGCCACAACTCTTACGCAGGGCTGTGATGACGCCAACCTCTGCATATGAGACAGAGCGGAGTCTGCTGAGTGTTGCAGTATAATAGAGACAGCCCACCTCTCAGCTCCCAGCTGTGCGCAACGACCCCTGGCTAATTGAATCTGGATTACTGGAAAGCTGAGCGGATGAGACTGCCAGAAAAAGTACCCCTACTCACCCCTTATCTTCTGTTACAGGAGGTTCAAAAGGAAATGCATTCCCAAATCCTCTACAGACCGAGGCAAATATCGCTAAGTAACACCAGGTTGTTTTTGGCGATGGAGAGCCTGAACATTACGCACGGATCTGTTTCCATGAACGAGACGCTGGTGCAGCATTCCCAAGCGTCCACGTTTGAAAAAGCAATCGCTTTACCGATTTTTATGTTTGTTGGAGGTGCCATTGGGAATATTATTGCAATAATCGTCCTGTCAGTATCTCGACAGGAGAGGAAATCTTCAGCTTTCTACACGCTGGTGTGCGGCCTGGCGGTGACCGACCTGCTGGGCACGTGCCTGGCCAGTCCGCTCACCATAGCCAACTACATGGACAAGACAGTGCTCACGGTGCAGCATGTGTGCGAGTTTCACTCCTTTTTGTTGCTGTTTTTCGGTTTGACAGGGCTGAGCATCATATGCACCATGGCAGCGGAGCGGTACATGTCCATATGCTGCCCGTACACCTACCAGCGGTGGGGGGTGGACCGGCGCTTTGCGCAAAAGTTCCTGTTCTTCATTTATATCAGTAACATCTTCTTCTGCTGCCTCCCGATGATGGGCATGTCGAAAAGCGAGCTGCAGCCGTCCGGCACCTGGTGCTTCATCGACTGGGGGACAGAGGAGCCTGTGGCCGCTGCCTATACTGTGCTGTACGGCTCCGTCAGCCTGCTGCTCATCCTGGGCACCATCCTGCTGAACCTGGCGGTGTGCGGAGCGCTGCTGCTGATGCGCCAGAGGACCGTGCAGCGGCCCGTCACCAGAGCCAGCGTCCGGGACAGGTGGAGGGCTCTGTCCTCGGCTGCAGAGACCCAGATGATGGCAGTGCTGGTGATGACCTCCGCCGTGGTGCTGGCCTGTTCAGCCCCTCTGGTGGTGAGTCCCCCTGACTTGGGTTTATAAAGGCAGTTTGGTTTATAATGTTGCATGCACTTACCTTTGCCTACGGAGCAGCAAACCTTAATTAGAAGGATTTTAAGTAACTATTTTACTCAAGCAATCTGAAATGTTGGTCAACGTTGTTATACTTTATACATATATTTTTATGTTTTTCTATACTTTATATGTTACTCTACAACAATTCAGAGGCATATTGTTCAAGCACATTACATATTTTTGCTAAATGTGATCATACATTTTGAATAATAATACAAAATCTAATAAATGACTAATATATTCTGGTTTAATATTAATAATTAAGATGAGACTTTATTGATCCCCGGGGGTAAATTAATAAACTATAGTGCAGCATAAGTGTTAACATGAGCTTCAGCTTTACAGCAACATTAAATTGATGGATACATTAATAGTATACAGTTATTTTGACTATAACTAATAAAGTATAACTATAGGAATTTTACCTGAGGAGGTGGAGGTAATTTTATGTTTGTATTCCGAATAGATTAATCTGATTCATCATATTATGTAAGATTACATGTTTTACAACTTTCTAAATACTATTTTAATGAAACAGTTTAGGGGAAATGAAAACATTTTTAACTGCATATAATGAATAGACATTATGAACCTCAAACAAGGGGTCACAGTTTTAAGAGCACTAAAACAGGTTGGAAACAAGGTGATGTCGTATCATGCGCTATTCATATTTTCAGAGTAATCACTTTTCATGAGAAACTATGAAATGATAACCTTGATTTTTATTGGGAAACGTGAAAAGTATACTGAAAGGAAACATTCCTGTTAATATTTGCTGCCATTACAGCATGTTTAAATAAAACATTTGAAGATATGAGCCATAACCTGTTTTTCTCTTTCAGGTCCGTGTGTTTGCCAACTGCTTCATTTTGAAAAATTACCCTAACGCTGACCTGGCAGCCATCAGGATAGCAGCTGTAAACCCCATCCTCGACCCCTGGATCTACATCCTCCTCAGGAGGTCTCTGTTTAGGAAGTTACTCAAGTTATCCAGACAAGGCAGCAGCACTCGCAGTACTTCATCCCCTACATCACAAGCGACTCTTTTTTATCCTGTAATCGTGAGGGACAGTCATGTGATCACACAGCTGATGTGCAACGCAAACATCATGACTCAGCTGCCCGCCACTGCCAAATTCACTTCGTACGACACAGAGAGTCCCCGTCAGACTTAACACAGACAGAAAATGTGTGTGACTTCTGTGAATGTTTGCTGCTTGCACAGGCCGCAAGCACCTTGACGCAGGGCTTTGTCTCAGAGCTGTTGTCTTTGGGATGGACACACTGAGACGTCTCTGCCGGCCCGAGACCGGACCATCGGAGCTCCTGTAGGATTATTTATTAAATAAAACATGACTTCTGCTCTACATCTATGTAGGCATCTACTGCTGTGACACAGGACTTATGAAGAAACACTATGTTGGATGTTATTAAAAAACTAGGGATGCAGCTCAAATCTATCTCTAGTCATTTGGTCTATAAAAAGTCAGAAAATGTTGATCAGTCTTGCCTTAAGCCCAAGATGACATCCTCAAATGATCTGTCCACAAGTCAATGATATTCATTTTACCGAGTAGTATTAAAACCAGAAAATATTCACATTCAAGAAGCTCCAAAACATTTTTCTTATAAAAACAAAATCAGTGCTCAGAAATCCTTCAATCAGGTCAATGTGAAGTTCCTTGTCCTCTGTCAGTCCCTCGTCACGTCATCATCAGCTCCTCCCCCCCACAGATCAGTCAGTTCATGGGAATTATCCAGTTGGACGCTACAGAGATGGTACAACACTTGTTTCATCTGGAGCCAGTGTTCAAATGACACTCTTATAACAGAAATAACATGGAGATATTAAAAGACTCTGATTGAGACGCAGCACAAGTATTTCTCTGAGATGTGTCTTGTAGGATTTTACCTCCTACAAAACCCCAGTTACAGCCACGTCCCTGGAGGAGTACGGATTACACAAATGATAAGGCATTGATTAAATGCTGTTGATTCATGTTTGTATTAAAGTTCCTATCTTGAGCCTTGTTGTCTTTTGTCTCTGTTTGACTGTTTCAGTTTTGATTGAAACTCATATTTCTGTTGACTAATTTAGTGCTGACCACCTTTGACCTTGGTTTAGTTTATTAAATGTATAGGGTCCGTGTACAAAATCCATTGATTTCAAAACACACCTGTACATGATTCCACATTACTAAACAGCAAGCCTAAACGCAACATCTATGCTCACAATATTTGCCTAAAATGAGCTTGAATAAGTGTAAACATTTGTGCAGGTAGGAAGCTTATACTTTTTAATATTGGCTAAAAAAGAAGCGGCAGATTATGCAAAGGTAGAGCCTCATTTAGGGACACTACACTCTTCCCTTGGGGCAGACTCATTTGCTCTGAGCAGCTGAACAAAGTCAGGGCTTCAGTATTATATTCAACCTTTAAAAATTGTATTTAAACTCACCCACAGTGGTCCTGACGATGCCAACTAGTACACATGAAAAGATTCAACCCTACCTTTGCCAGCATCAGTTTTTCCGGTCAGATCCTGCTTCTGTTGGAAAAACAAAAACACAGCATGTTTGTGAACACTTGGTCACACGGCTTCAGTTGGCCTAGTTTTTGGTCACCCATCATTAGACTTAGACCAAATTGCTAGTGAGCTCACCTTTGCATGTCATAGACCAGGAAGAGTCCGGTTGAGGTTCATAGAAGAGCGGGACGGTGGCTGAACTCTATCTGCAGGATTTCTTTGCAGGGTGTTGCTGAAAAAAGACATGCACTGACAGTATCTCTTGATTAAAGGTGATGTATGATTTACTCAGGATGAATGACACATCAGTCGGGGTCAAGTATGCACGACATCCTTTGCGGAGATTGAAGAAGAGATCATATTCATTTTGACACGCTTCACTGCTCTAACGAGAAATCGATGCTTGCATTTACTGATTTTTGGCCACTAGGGGGAAGAAAAACTCCCAAAACAGGAATCAAGTCAGGTCTCTAAGAATGTGATGAATATACAGTACCAAGTCTATCATCCATCTTACCTCTGGTTTTGCCTCTGTCTGTGTGGTGCCTGTAGCAAGAGCATACAGGTAACACATTTAACACACACATTATGCCCTCGGTAATTTACACACATACTCTGATGCCAGTGCGATACGTAAAACTATCTTTCAAGTGTGGCTGGAAAGAGCCCTACAGCTGTCACATTTACACTTCTTTCTAAAAAGCTCCATATACACTTCTAGATTAATGAAGACAACCAAAATGTTCAATATTCCGCAATGTATTTATTCCCCCCAAACATTTAAAAATAGCATTTACTAAACAGAAGCAGACAAGAAGGTGCACAGCTGCACCTCTGTTCAATGTTTTTGTACCTTTACACCATAAATAAAAACCTATTAACAGCGGTTAAGTAAAAAGTATGCCTCGAGATGCACAGAAATAATAATCATACAAGTTTTACAAAGTAAACTCCCATTTCTCCACTCATTAACATTTACATCCCAGTTATTATCTTTACAGGTGAGAGCCAACATCCAAATAAAACTTTTTTCTCCCAGTTAGCTCAGAAACAAACAGCCGGCAGGACACTGAAAACAAATTTGTGGATAAATTCATAAAACATGTGTCCTACAGGTTGTAGTTTATGCATTTTTACATCTTGCCCATTTTGCGGTGCATCAGCATCATAACATTTATTGCTAACTGCTTTTGGCAACATGAAGAGGAAAAAAAAGAAATCCAAAAGACATTAAAAACATTTGCTCCAGCAAAATACAATGACACAAAGTTTTTGAAAAAATAAAGACAGTATGACCGTTATTCCTGTCTGCAGGTTGCATGTGCACATTACATTCTTTAACTACGAAAAGTGTTGTTTCCATGTTGAGTAGTTTGGGTGTTATCTGTCGACGTCACACAGCTGTTTAACATGTAGTCACATTTATACGCTGTTGATAAGTTCAGAGTGTGTTAGTCTTTACTCTCTCCTCGCAGCTGAATGACAGCGTTTTGACTGATCTCCATACGTTTATCTAATCATGAAGGGGTAAGAAATGTTAGTTCACCTGATTTATTGCACCAACCTGATGCATCTGAAGTGCGCTTCTTTTTAACAAAGAGAAGGCTTTCATGTTGAGATATGTCACTTAAGGACCAATGGTTTTTCCAAAGATAATTTCTGATGGATAACATTTCTCATTTTGATATTTAGAAAAATAGTTTTGAACGTGATACAATTATCAGCTCTTCTAAGTTAAAGGATCCAAAATATTCAAGAACAAATCTGTTTGAAAAAAGTTCCGTAAGTATTATGTGATTTAGAGTTGGGGTCATGATTGCTTGTGAAACTTTCTTGACAGCTCCACATAAAGAAGTATTTCCAGACATTTGCTTCTTCAAGTTACTGCTAGTAACTATGAAGATGTTGCAAATAATATCCACTTGTCTTTGGGTCTTCACAGAATCATGCCATAAAGAGGGTATTTTAGTCGTTAAATACCTGACTCTGGTCTGTAGTAAACTCAGTGTTTTGTGTAGGGAAGGTAGCATAGAGGAGGTTTATCAAGTGTTTCAAAGGGCTGCTTTCAGCGAGATAAAAAGAGCGTTTACATTTAACTATATGAGATATGTGCGGCTGTAAAACCAAACAGTCGTAAAGCTGCAGAGACGGGTTTTAATTCTCTGCCCTTTCGGTTTCAAGAGCAACAAATAGATATTACAAAGTCATTTAAATACATCTAAATATAGACATATTGGTTTAACGTTTTGAAGTTAAATGACTTGAAGTGAAAACAAAAACATCCCGGTATATAAATGCTACCTTTATGAAATGACAAGAATTCGATGCCGAGATCACAAAAAAATAATATATATATAAAACCTAATATTGCTGCAGTGAGTTGCTTAGTGTGCACCAGAGATCCTGCACAGGAAAGGCATGTGACCCATGCTAACTCAATTAAATAAGGCTTTTCATTAATAAATGATAACTAGGGTGAAAGTTTTTCAGATATTGTAATCAATAATGAAAATCACATCTCTTGTCCACCAGGACATTACAATAGAGTCTTTAATTTAAAAAAAAGTCCCAAACCTGTGATTTCATGCATGTCTCATTTTGAAGCTGCACACTGACCATGGATGCTATTGTTGCAAATACACTTCAGATTAAAAACCCCAGGACAGACAGAAACTATCTGCGTAATGCATTCAAATGATGTGCAAACTCAAACCCGGCCTCTCAACGTGACAAAGCAGCTTTGGTTCAGACTGAAAACAATGAAGTGGCACCAGAGACAGATATCACTCAATCAATGAATAAATACCAATGATCAGTTAAACAATGCACTGTTGTAAATCGATTCTCCTACAAACTATAAAAGCAAAATAAGGAAATAATAATAAAATGACAGTTTACATGATGAGACTAAAATGATACTTTGTTCTGGTAAACCCAATTTGAGCTTTTCACATGTATGCTGCATAACAACAAATGGTGGACTTATTGGTTTCTTGGGGGAAAGGACAGATGTGTGGGAGGTCATGGACCGCTCCGAGACAGAGCAGGTCTCACTCCGAAATGTTATCTTAGTTAAAAGACGCTTTGTGTGTTTAAAGGTTCCTGCTTTTAAAAACACTGGCTGACAACAAGTGTGACTGAATGTAACCATCTCCCAAGTGCAACAATATAAACTGCATCGTTTCTTTGCAGACAAAATCAACGGATATGGATATTTTATACATTTATTTCGAAATGTGGCCATTTTTCTTCATCAGGCACATGTAATGTTATACCACGTTGAAAAGTGCAGTCTAAATGCTAGCTTTACCATGCTAACATGCTCACAAATGACGATGCTGCTTAGACGCTGATATCAGGTTTAATGTTTACCATGTTAGTATAGCATGCTAGTTTGCTAACTTTAGCACTAAACAAAGTAGAGCTGAGGCTGATGGGAATTGCCATTAGTTTTGTAGAAAGTTAGTCATAAAGAAGTATTGGACTAATTGAAATGTGTACCTCATGGAGATACTAGATAAATCAGTGGATCTCCAAAGTGATTCAAATGAATCCCAAGTTTGAACCCCATACAACAGAATGCCCAGTGAGAGGGAGAGACCTGATTATCTTAGCATCAGGTGACAGTTACTTAAATTCCTCCATTGTCTACAAAAAAGTCCCATCTGCCTTGAGCTTTTTGAAGAGTGGCAAACAATTCAAACATCATTACAGGTGCCTAAAGAAGAAACCAAAACGCTAGGCCTTCCACTGAGACTACTCTGTTACAAAATGTAACATGATTCTTGTTTTGGTGTGATTTAGCGTCCAAATTAACATCCTATCCTCTGAAAGTGAACAAAAATAACCGACAAGAGATTATGGCTGACTCATACATTTCCAGACGGCACGGTGCAAACCATTCATCCTCCTTTTTTTACGTGTCCACCTGCTGTTTTATATTTCTGTGATAACATGGCTACGTTTTGTTTCCTCTCAGACCATCTAATACAGTCAGTACCAAACTAATAAATAAACAATGACATACGGCAAAGCTGTCAGAAAGTGAAGTTTAGACGGGGCGGAGCGCGTCACTGGCCCTCTCTTTCCTCCCGTCCACAACAAACAGCACTTGCCTTCAGTCTGGTGTTTGGAGCTGTGTGCCGCTGCAGAGAGGCGGCGGCCACACAGCAAAGTCTATAACGGCCGTGCAGAGCGAGGGCAAACCCCTCCCTCACACGACGTACTGGTGGCTGTTGCTGTGGTTTGTCGTGTAGGCCTGCCGGCTGTACTGGAAGTGGTCGGTCAGCACGTTGTTCCTGCTGTGCTGCTGATCCAGGCCGTGGGAGAAAGGCACTGACCCGTTGGCCTGGAGCTTCTCCAGCACCGGGTTGTCGAAGGAAACCAGGTCCTGCTTGGAGCTTGGCAGCAGCTTCTTCTCCTTGTTGGCGT